TATTACTCATAATATTTTAATTTTCATATACTATATTTATGTATATTTTACCAATCAGCTGTTCAGACTGGCTGCTGGTGCCCATATGCCCCCCTCTCTGCTGAGGGGGAGCATGTGCAGTTGCAAAGAAAACAGGCCTGGCTCCTGGGGGGATGATAGGAAAGTTTGGGTTTTCCAGTTTGGACAAACCCAAACCAAGCTGAATCAACAAAGCAATGATTTTTTACGAACTTCCTGGTACATGTTCATATTTGTGTGCATCTCTAGTAGACATATAGTTTTTGTTTCTGTTTTGTTTTGTTGTTTACCTGAGATGCTGAAAAGAGAAAGAAGATGACAGTATAATACATACAATAATGTTATGCTGATATTGCTATGAGAGATGCATTGACTGGGGATGGACTCTAGACAGGAAAATGTGAGGGAAATGTAATTACTATCTTATAGCCCAGTTCAATCTGTTCTTTACTTTGCTACTTGCAGAAAATACATCAGTGAAATTCTTGAGTACAGAGCAGAGTAAGAAATGTTACCAAGACATCGGATTGCTAGGAAGAGACAGCAATAAGTACATTTCTGTACTTCCATGACTCTGTCCTGGACTCACCCTTATGATCTTTACTACCAGGAAAAAACCCACTAGAAATTACCTTCAGTGAAAACTGGTAGATACCATTCTCCCTCTTTGTCCTACCCCAAATTCCCAGGCTGCGCACTTTGGAGTTTTTAGCTGCTTACCTTCACCTGCAAATCTTCTCCTGGCTCTGTCTTTGCTTTCTGCCTTTCTCCCCAGTCCTTTGCTTTCTTGACACTATTTCCCCCCCCAACCAATGTCAGACAGACAAAATCCTTTTGTTAACCATTTAAAAAAATGGTCTTATCAAAATCAATAGTACTTTTAGGACTGAAGGTGCAAAGCAGAAGTAATTAAAGTCTATGGTGGTGCACTATTTTTAGATGTGTTCCTTTTGTATTTCCTGTGTTTGTTGCTATATTGTCCTTTATTCTGAGGTCGTTTCAAAGAGAGAAATCTTCCAAAGTGAGAGACTGAACTAGGCATAAGAAGTAATACAGTCATGAAGTAGTGAAGTCAGACTCACAGCAGTTTAAAGGGCAAACTTTAGTTAGTTCATTGGCCATCACCAATTTAAACATGCAGGTTTGTGAATTAAGATGAAGATAGGTGGTCTCCAGAGGTCCTGGGGCCACATATGTCCATCCCTAGACCTCGGAGGGCTACATCCCTTCCCGCAACCTCCACAGGCCCATTTTTCTTACATAATTTTTTAACTGGAAAAGCCATCTTATGCCATATAATAAACATTATATATATTTATAATATAAGAACATGAGTGTCTATCATTGATGTACATGAAACGTAAGAGAACTTAAGTAAGTCTGTCTCAGAAAACTTGTACTCTGGCATTTGTTTGTTCCTGCATTCATTTCCCATAATTATTATCTTGAGATAAGTAGAAATATGTGCCTTTTTAATTTGGTAATGCACAAGCATGATGCACAGGCCCCCTCAAGGAGGTTTGTCAGACAAATCTATTAGAGGGGTGTCTTACTGTTCTCACCTTCCTGAACCACATCTTCAGTCATTTCTATCCACTGCCTACACATAGCCAAAATGGAGAAACATCCCTCAGGCACCAAGGAAGTGGCCATTATCAGAACAGCCCCTCTAAGTATCAGTAAAGCCCAAGTTGCTAACATTTCAAGGGAGCCTGCCCTTCCAGTAGCTAGACTGAGACATTTGTCTCAAGCAGCAGGTTTTGAATATTGTGAAAGAGCTGGGAACTGGTGGTTATTTAATTTGTCATGATTTCAGTCTTGTTGCCAGGTTTAAGGCTTCTGAGATTTTTTTTGCACCAAAATAAGTTGGCTGCCTGGCTTTGATCACTCTGCACCTTGAATTCCATGAGCCATTTGGGGTGCCGTTTGCTGCTCTGCCTCCGACAGCAAAATATCTTCGGCCAGCCTTGCTTCCCAGCCTACACTGCCCAGCTCTGAGACTCATTTTCCTTATTTTAGGACTCGGGAATTTATTTTCATTTCAGGCTCTGAGTCATATGATTAAAAGGGAAATGCACGCAGAGATTGCATATACTGAATGCCTCACCTTCACCACGGATTAACAGCAGTCAGCCCATATAGTACATCTGGAATATGGGTAGAGAAGCTGCTCATGGTGAATAGATTCTTTTGTGCAAATTCTATTTCATTTTTTTCTCTTTTTCTTCCTGCTAGCCAGTGGATGACCCCAGGCCAGGTGCCCTCTGAAAACCAAGCACCATTCCAAAGCTGTTTAGGTCTTTGGTGTTGGCCTTGAGCCACAGATATCATGACTAATATTCAGGGTCTTAAAGCAGTAAGTTAAAGCTCAAGGCCATCAGATAGTTCAGCATTCCTGCCTACTGGGCAGTTTCTTCTGGCAAATGTGCAGAACAGCTGGTATGTGGAATATACCAGAATATGGTGAACATGGGAAGGCAGGCAATGAAAATGCATACAGGAAAGGGTGGAAAGGGTAATTATTCCATGTAAACAGAGGTACTAAAAGTGCCTCTGTTCATCTATTCAGCTTATTGGAAAGCCTGATGTCTGAACAGGGCTCATATTTCCCAAGACTCTACTTACAGCAATGATTACTGCAGACAGAAATCATTAACTCAGTGGTGAAAATCTCAGTTGCACAATTACATGGCTCCAACTAGATGACATCATCATCCAGCATCAATAATGTTTAATTAAAACTAGTTACCAGATCCCTATTCCCCTTCTTTCGGGTTCTGAGGTTTCCTTCGCCTCTGTTTTGCCCTGGGGTAGCCTCGGGATGGGTCTGCCAGTGGTCCCAAATTTTGCTGAAGACAAGCTATTAAGTGGTATTCTACAGTGACAGCTGTCCTCTGAATATATATATAGTATTTCACAACATAATGTTTCAGTAAACAGAAAACTAGTATATCAAGGAGAAAAGGAGCATGGCAAGGATAAAGACTATCAGCCCCAAAGGCAATTTTCCACACGAAGGGAGAATTTTCTCCATCCATGGAACAATAACCTAATATGTAAACACCAACCAACATTAAAATAGTTAGAGAACAACATTCAAGAAAAGCTGGACCACATCACTCTGCTAAATATGTAGATAATTTAAAAACTATATACATTCTCTAGGGATAGGCAAATTTATGAATTTCAGTTTTACCGAATTTCCCATTTATTTCTATCCATGTGTATAGCAGTTTGCTAATTTGATAAAATTTATTCAAATATTACAATAACATTTATACAAATATTATCTGCCCAGAAAGCCATGAAAAGAGTCATTGCAAGTCAGAATTAACTTAATGATACACAATTATTATTATGCACTTTTGTATACATATTTTCTTGTGTTCACATTTTGAAACCATTTATATATAATGTGTTCTTGTGGCTAACTTCCCTGAACATACATGTTTTCTCCTTTTTCTTGATGTATGCTTTTTGGTACACTTTTGTTTAGTTTTGACACATTTCTAAAAAGTATGGATTTTAACATGTCATTTCTAGTTCAGGTGTGGCTTACCAGGTCTAAATTTCTTAAGTCTGTACAAGTATTTGGACATAATTAACTTCTCCTATATTCCTAATATTATCCCCCCAGTGAGAATTATTCTCCAAATAATGAAGTCCAGCCCCCTCAGAGGTATTGCTAAAGTGTCACTGAAAGAAAGGTGGCAATGATTTCTTTCCCATCATTGCCATTTACCACAACTTGGGGGGAGGGGCAGCAGCTTCTGTTACAGTCACATTTAGTCTTCTTCTTTTTTTGCTATTATATTTTTATTCTAACTGTGCTATCTATCAAAAGTAGGTGAGAAGAGAGGAAGAATGCTCAATGATGAGAATGGGTGAAACACATTCCTGTGTCATATTTGAGAAACATTTCAGCATCATATTTGCTCAGTCATGCATTTTCCAACTTGACACATTCAAATTAGCTAAACAATCTGTGACTAAGGAAATTACCAGAAGGTTGGTGTCATCCAGAGCAGTGAATTTCAAATAATGGTCTTCTCTTTTCAAGGAGAAAAATAATTTACCTCAGTCCCTCTGTAGGAGTTATACTATAAGTTTTGGTGAATGCTGCAGGCTGATTTCCTAGATACCATCTCTTTTTTAAACAAGGCACTCCTCATACTATACACACTGAATGGCATTTCCAAAGGTCCTTAGGCTAAGGGTTACTGCTCTCCTGCTGAAGACGAATGAAAAAGTACAATGTGACCTACCAAAATTTAACTAAATGTCACACTGACTGTTTAAAAACATATGTATTTGTGCATGTGTGAGAGTTCTGCACAACCTGAATGAAACAAGGGACAGACTTTGTTCATACCTGTATGCACAACCTGTGATTGTGCTATACTTGAAAACTGTAAACCTGAATATTTGCGTTGATTCAATTCGAACACTGAACCTGAGGTGACACCAGAAGACTCTTCCACCCCTCCTGTTGTTTGCCTAATTATTCATTCCACCCACAGTGACTGAAGCTGACACCTCATGTCAAAACAGTTCAGTTTAGGTTTTTTAAAGTTAGTAAATATATGCACTTGCTGGTTGTAGTTGTTTTGCTAAATTTACAAATGTTGTGATATGGTTTGGGGCATTATATTTCACATTTCAAATAAAACTACTTGGGGTGCCAAAAGGGGCATGGACTTCAAACTGTTGATAAATACTGAGTGTATAAAACTCTGACAAGTCATAAAAATTCATGCATTCCAGCCTCCATGTATGCAACAAAAAAGTAAAGTCAAAGGATCAAAAAGGCAGGGTAGAGGAAGGATACGAAAAATAATGGAGAGGAAAGGAATAAAATATATTTACTGTATATATAAAGAGAGGACATGAATACAAGCAACATCAGATGATTCTGTAGGTTCATAAAGACAGCAGTGGCATATTGAAAACCCTTATGCATTCATTGGATGCTATACCCTTCATGAAAATACCTTAGGGAAACATACAGCAAACATAGTTGTTACTGTTATGTACTGGTGTTTCCTACAGCAAACAAAGGAAGGGTGAACAAGAGGCATGCACCCTGAAAGACAAGATAAGCTTGAGCACCATGGCCCAAAGAAGCTTCCAGACACATAGACATATATTTCTAAAGAAAAGGGCATACTTTCCAAACTTGATTTGCATTGGGTTCAGCTAAACTGTAGTTGTAATGGGTACCGTGCAGTCAAAATTTGTGTTCTTTTTAATTCTAAAATAAGTATGTGAATCTCACCACCTCTTAGTTTTGAAGAGAAAGTAAATGGAGGAAATCAATGTTTTCTCCATTCAGTGAGATTTTTCTATCAATATCCTTTCCCCCTTGAAAAATCTTGCAGGAAATATGAGAAATGTCATGGCCTTTTTTTTTTCAGAAAGCAGTTCCAAATTGTCCAGGATTATTATAATTCCTGTGCAGAATGGCATTAAGTTGCAAAGAATTTGACTGTTTCCTACAATGAACAATGTGACAAAAAGGGTGGGAAGGGGAAATGCTACCAGGGTTTCATTTGTCTGAGAAGATGGGCAATTTCACTGATCCAGGATGTCTTGGCCGGAAGTCTCAGCATGGCAAGTCTGAGGAAGTAACTGAGAAGGACATATTTTTTTTCAAATACACCCCTCATCCCTTCTTTAAAATAGGTGTACAAATTAGATTTAGTATGCATAGGCTGGTGTGGATGAAAACTTCCCTCAGGTTTTTTTTTTTATTTGAAAGATTCCCCCATATGAGGACTGAAGGAGAGGGATACCAGTTCAAAATGTGTCCGTGAGGCTTCCCGTGTAATGAACAGAAATTTGGTTAAGTGGAGTTGTTTTTCTAATGAATTAGTGACCACGTTTAATGGAAAGCAGAAGTATGTACCAAAGAAAGGGTATAGCATGTTTTTCACAAACATCTACTAAGTTCATTTGTTTCCCTCCCTCATTTTTAGTCCTTTGAAAGAGTTTTGGTTGAGAACAAATTACACGGCCTTTCGCCGGCCCTTTCTGAAGCCATCCAGAGTATTTCTCGCTGGGAATTGGTCCAAGCTGCCTTACCACATGTTCTTCACTGCACAGCCACTCTCCTTTCAAACCGGAACAAGTTAGGTCAGTGGTGCATATTCGATTTTGAAAAGAACTATTGTTTAGAGATGCTGTTGATATCTTCAAACGATGTTCAATGGAATTTAGATCTGTTCTTCTTTAAACGTGAAGTAGACCATCATGAGGAGGTGGAAACAGATGCTAGGAAATATATGAGATCTCCCATCCCACTTTCCTGTTTATCTGCTTGTGACTGTACCGGGAAAGTCCTTTTTTGAGTGCCAAACTAGACAACATGTTTTTCCAAACAGACACATTCTCAAAGGATGAACTATGCCTGTCATACCACATGTTTTGTAGTATAAATCACTTATAATACTTAAAATAATTGTAAGGAACTAGAGATTCTGGAACAACTGGTACAGTTATTAAAGCACAAAAAGAAATGGGGAATAATTTTTACTAATACACTTGAATTACACATCTCAGTACAGCAGAAACATTTATGGAATTATGAAGTTTAATGAAGGCTGTCAACCTCTTGTTGTGGCCTTTTGGGTTGCTTAGCAGTCTCAGGGTGAGCAGCAGATACATGGGGCTCTTAGAAGGCCAATCAGACATTTCTGGTGTTGTGATTGGCTTTGTGGGTTAGGAACTGAGTAGGTGTTTACCTCAAACAGAATTCTAGGATCAGGGACTCATCAGTCTTACTGCCTTCTTCCATCCAGGACATCAAGACAAACTAGGAGTTGCAGAGACAAAGCTGCTTCACACTCTCCACTGGATGCTACTGGAAGCCCCACAAGACTGCAGCAATGACCGCTTTGGAGGCGGGGGAGGAGGAGGAGACAGAGGATCCAGTTGGAGAGGGAGCAGCACTGCCTTCATACACCAGGTTGAAAACCAAGGATCTCCAGGGCATTCACGACGGGACAGCATCAACGAAGAAGAAGAGAACAACCGGAGGAAATTCTTTCAGAATTCCATGGCCACCGTGGAGCTCTTTGTGTTCTTGTTTGCTCCTCTGGTTCACAGGATTAAAGTAAGTGCTTCAACCTAAGCGAGAAGAAACTGTGAACAAAAGGAGTGCAGTTTGATACCACTATGAATCAACCTAAGCGAGAAGAAACTGTGAACAATGTGCAGTTTGATACCACTATGAATAACTTCAGTGTGTGTGTGTATTTCCAGAGTGTACTTCAGCTTAAGGTAATATACTGAAGGACAGGTGATCAAAGTTGGGCAGTTGAGTCTAGACCTAGATGTTAAAAATGCCCCCTCCCCCCCTGAAAATGTCTGCCTAGCTGTAATAGCTGCCTTAGAGCGGAAAATAAGTACAATTGCTATTTGATTTTCTTCTTGCTATGAAGCTGTTTAGTTCAGATAACTACTTGAAGGGGTGGGGGAGTTCTCCTAAAAATAAAGGATTCAAGTCATCGCTGACCACTGTTCAAAGAATAAAACACTATAGTAATGCTTACAGTATCTTCAGTGAATGTTATATACAGTAATGCTTACAGTATCTTCAGTGAATGCTATATACAATTCTTCTTCTTCTTCTTCTTCTTCAAAAACACCAGGTACAGTCAATCAAAATTATGAAGACTTTGACTGGTGTTATATAAGTCTTCTTCTTCAAAAACACCAGGTACAGTCAATCAAAATTATGAAAACTTTGACTGGTATTATATAAGCGATCGATACAAGTCTTAGCCAAAAATGTAGTAGTAGAAGTAGCAGCAACAATAGCAGCAACAGTGCTAGTAGTAAAAAAATACAAGACACAGCCTCTGACTGGTATTATATAACAGGCACAGGTTTTAACCAAAAACATAAGTATCAGTTAAATATTGGAGTAACATGTACAATATTTCCAATATTGCCATTTTTGGCACTTTCTGATGGTGTTATTTCAGCTGATTATAATATTTCATAAAATTCCTTGGCATTGCTCCCAATGCCCAATGACTGTGGGGACCAATGAAATGTGTTGTTGTTTTTCTTGATGATGATAAGTTATTTTTAATACTGCTTTGCTGGGCTTGAGAAAAATAATGCCTGGCAGGTAACCAGAGTGCTTTAAGCTTGGTTGTTTTTGATCACTGGGAATAAGTCACCAGGGAATTTAAAATAATCTTAATTATTGTGATAATAACAGGGAGATGTTTTTGTTCGGATAGACTGGAATCCTTTAACCTTCAGAAAATGACACACCTCAGAATTTAGGAGAGTGAAATCTTTCATATAAGGGAAGAAGTAGAGAAATATCTGGAGCTAGTAGGAAACAAGAGCTGTAGACTTAGGGATGAAGATCACATAGACCGAGGAGATATGTAGCTTGGTGATAGACTCCATGGTGCTTCACATGCAAAATGTCCCAACTTCAATTCTTGGCATAGCCAGGGAGGACCTAAAGCTATATCTTATTAGGACACAATAAGTATCTAGGACTCCCATTTACAGGAAATGAAATTCTGGAATTTTCACCACTTAAATATGTAGGAAATATACAATAGTATTATTTGGAGTCCTGTTACTCCCTGCCATTGTTTTATGCTGAGGTAATAAGCCTTCACGGGATAATCAGACTCACTGCTGTACCCAATCCAGCTTTCAGAGGCTCCCCAGCCTCTACCACTCCTCTATGATCAGGGGGAATAGGGAGGCCTGAGGCCACTGGCTGCTACTAGTCATCAACGCAGCTTTATCAAAATGTCCTGATGCTTTGACCTTGTGAGTCCAGGACTCTTCACAAGATTGTTTTATGCTGAGGTAATAAGCCTTCATGGGATAATCAGACTCACTGCTGTACCCAGTCCAGCTTTCAGACGCTCCCCAGCCTCTACCACTCCTCTACGTTCAAGGGGAATAGGGAGGCCTTAGGCCACTGGCTGTTACTAGTCATCAATGCTGCTTTATCAAAATGTCTTGATGCTTTGACCCTGTGAGTCCAGGACTCTTCACAAGAGTAGTGAAAGGACACTTCACAATAATAGTGAAAGGACATTATGAAACAGCTTTTGGAAGGAGGAATTCTGGGCTAAAATAGGTCATTTCATTAACAAATTGTTGTTGTTGCTTTAGGAATCCGACCTGACTTTTCGTCTGGCCAGCGGTCTAGTTATATGGCAGCCAATGTGGGAGCATAGGCAACCTGAAGTGACTGCCTTTACTACGCTGGTGAAGCCCATCAGGAATATAATCACAGGTAGGTGCTTGTATTATATATAGAGAGAGATTCAATGGTAAGACACAAACTGCTGTTCCAGTTCCTTTCATTTTTATTGCAGTATTCATATCAGGTTTTGCACCACTATATTGCCACAAAATGTTGCATTCCTGATTTTTATGAACCTGTCAGCAAGGATAGACATGAATACTGATTTAGAGATTGAATCTGAAAGATCTACCTCTTTTAAAATACCTGGAAACCTAATACTGATGGCTTTGTCACTTTACAGTTTCATTCCTTGAGCTTAATGAGAGCATGTCTAAATTCTTCAAGATAAGAGGCAGTACTAATTGGATAGGTATGGATGACTGTAGACCATGACAGAGTGGTTTAGTTAGAAGATGAACAAGATTTTATAGTGCAATGGTATAACTTTGTGCTCCAAGTTATACATGAGCAGTATGGAGGTCATCATGATATGGCTGCTCCCATACAGCTCAATTTTAAGAAGGCAGATCGTGACACAAAGGCTATGGTGCCAGCATGGCTAGGTCCTTCAGATGCTGCATGGCCAACCCAAGGCATTTTGCTCTCTGAGATGAATAGTAAGATTCCCTCACTTTGCTCCCATATGCTATTTACAGAGATCTACAGTATTGGATTAGCAGCTGAATCCCTGGGTGTGATGACACAAAGAAATAGATGGTACTTTGGCATGTGGAAGGATAACTTTAAGGGAGATCGTTTCCATTAAAATGGTCTATTCCAATGTAATCAGAAACTCTTTTGCAGCCATCTAATGACACCCTTACTTCAGTGCATTGGTTGCCACAAGGCTCATTACCAAGCCATACACAATTCCTTTCTTTAGCTCACCACCATTCCCTCTCCCATTGTACATCTCCCAATTGAGGTCAATAAATATAAGGACAGCTACATGATGATGGAAGAGGAGGCCACCATGTAGTTATGTAGTTAATCTTATTCATGACTTTGACTCTCAAATTCCAATGGTGGAGGAACATCTAATTGTTGTTGCAATCATGTTTCAGAGGTTTATTGCTCATAATATTTGTTTTCCTGAAAATGAGCCCTAGTTTGATTTTTCAGGATGCTCAAAATATAAGACCTACCCCCGAGATAAGCCCCAATTAAGTGAAACCCTGCCCTTCTCCATTGTGTAGCAATCAGAAGAGGATTAAATGACTGTAAAATAAAACATCCACTGAAAATAAGCCCTAATGAGGTTTTTTTTGGAGCAAAAATTAATATAAGACCCTGTCTTATTTTGGGGGAAACACTAGGTGTCCTCTAGTAAACCCAACATATGGTGCTCTTCAAGCATTTTCTTCATATAAACTACCGAGAATCAGTGTATCAGTTTATCCTTCTGGTGGCCTTCTGGAACTGCATAGCTTGCCCAAGGCTGCAAGGTAGTGAAGAATGTAACCCTTCGGCCATAAATGCTCTGGCTTATCTTATCTGGTGGAACAGTGGGAATTTGAAGTTCTGGCCCCTAGCTCCACAGCCAAACATTCCAACCCACTGAACTATAATAGCTTGCCAACTTTCCTCTTGTTGTTGTTTAGTCATTAAGTCATGTCCGACTCTTCGGGACCCCATGGATCAGAGCATGCTGCATGTCCGACTCTTCGTGCCCCATGGACCACAGCATTCTGGGACTGCCTGTCTTCCACTGCCTCCCGGAGTTGGGTCAAATTCATGTTGGTAGCTTTGATGACACTGTCCAACTATCTCATCTTCTGTTGTCCCCTTCTCCTTTTGCCTTCACATTTTCCTAACCTCAGAGGCTTTTGCAGGGTGTCTTTTCTTCTCTCAAGAGTCTCCTTGAGCACCACAATTCAAAAGCATCAGTTCTTTGGCAGTCAGCCTTCTTTATAGTCCAGCTCTCACTTCCGTACATCACTACTGGAAAAACCATAGCTTTGACTATGTGGACCTTTGTCGGCAAGGTGATGTCTCTGCTTTTTAATATGCTATATAGATTTGTCATCGCTTTCCTCCCCAGAGGCAGACGTCTTTTAATTTCGTGGGTGCTGTCCCAATCTGCAGTGATCATGGAACCCAAGAAAGTAAAGTCTGTCACTGCTTCCATAACTTCCCCTTCTATTTTCCAGAAGGTGTTGGGACCAGTGGCCATGAACTTAGTTTTTTTGATGTTGAGCTTCAGACCATTTTTGTGCTCTCCTCTTTCACCCTCATTAAGAGGTTCTTTAATTCCTCCTCACTTTCTGCCATCAGAGTGGTATCATCTGCATATCTGAGACTGTAGATATTTCTTCCGGCAATCTTAATTCCGGTTTGGGATTCTTCCAGTCCAGCCTTTCGCATGATGCATTCTGCATATCAGTTAAATATACAGCCTTGTCGTACTCCTTTCCCAATTTTGAACCAATCAGTTGTTCCATATCCAGTTGCTTCCTGGCCCACATACAGATTTCTCAAGAATTAGATAAGGTGGTCAGGCACTCCCATTAGAGACTTGCCATAGTTTGCTGTGGTCCACACAGTCAAAGGCTATTGTGTAGTCAATGAAGCAGAAGTACATGTTTTTCTGGAATTCTCTGGCTTTCTCCATAATCCAGCTCATGTTAGCAATTTGGTCCCTGGATTCCTCTGCCCCTTTGAAATTCAGCTTGAACTTCTAGGAGTTCTCGGTCCACATACTGCTGAAACCTTCCTTGGAGGATTGTGAGCATAACCTTGCTAGCATGGGAAATGAGTTCAATTGTACGGTAGTTGGAGCATTCTTTGGCACTGCCCTTCTTTGGGATTGGGATGTAAACTGATCTTTTCCAATCCTCTGGCCACTGCTGAGTTTTCCAAACTTGCTGACATATTGAATGTAGCACCTAACAGATCATCTTTTAAGATTTTAAATAGTTCCACTGGAATGCCATCACCCCCACTGGCCTTGTTGTTAGCAATGCTTTTTAAGGCCCACTTTACTTCACTCTCCAGGTTGTCTGGCTCAAGGTCAGCAACCACACTATCTGCGTTGTCCGGGACATCCAGATCTTTCTGGTATAATTCCTCTCTGTATTTTTGCCATCTCTTCTTGATGTCTTCTGCCTCTGTTAGGTCCCTACTATTTTTATCCTTTATCATGTCCATCTTTGCACAAAAGGTTCCTTTAATATCTCCAATTTTCTTGAACAGATCTTTTTTTCTTTCTATTTTCCCCCCTCAGTATCTTTGCACTGTTCATTTAAGAAGGCCCTCTTGTCTCTCCTTGCTATTCTTTGGAAGTCT